ATTCATTTTTATATAATAATACAAGCAAGGAGTATATCTTATTGTACTGAGGACCCCATTAGTATGGATGCACAGGATGGTGGGATACACTATGGTGTATTCATATAAGTACATAGAAAGATTATTTCAGATTCATTCCACTGTCTTTCCTTTTCCTATCACCTCTTCCTTCCTTTCATTCCCCTTTGTCTAATGTATGAATATCTCTTCTTTCTCTCTCCCCCCCTTATTGTGGGTTAGCTTCCACATATCAGCAAAAACATTTAATCTTTGGGTTTGGGGGACTGGCTTATTTCACTTGGCATAATAGTCTTCAGGATTTCTAAATGTTGAGTTTGCATTTTAATGTATAAATTTCACTTCATTTCTTGCAAATACCATAAAGTCTTTCTTCTTTATAGCTGAGTAATACTCCATTTTTACATAAACCACAATTTCTTCATCCATTTCATCTGTTGAATGGCACCTAGGTTGGTTCCATAGCTTAGCTATTGTGAATTGAACTGCTATAAACATTGATGTGGCAAGTGTCATTGTAGTATGCTGATTTTAAGTCCTTTGGATATAAACTAAGGAGTGGGATAGTTTGGTCAAATGGTGGTTCCATTCCTAATTTTTCGAGGACTCTTCATACTGCTTTCCAGAGTGGTTGCACCAGTTTGTAGTCCCGCCAGCCAGTATGAGTGAACCATTTCCCCCACATCCTTGCCAAAATTTATTGTTACTTCTATTCTTGATAATTGACATTCTGACTAGAGTGAGATGAAATCTCAGTGTGGTTTTAATTTACATTTCTCTAATTGCTAGAGATGTTGAATATTTTTAATATATTTGATGACCATTTGGATTTCTTCAGAGACTCTGTTTTTCTTGATTAATTCTTTTGTTTGTTTGTTTTGGTTTTTGGTGGAAAGAAGGAAAAAAAAACCTTGAGCTGGTTTTTGAGTGAGTGGAAACTTAGATCACTTTCTATTCTAGAACAATTTCACTTCTAATATTCTCTTAACATTTATTAGATTTTTTTTTTGCTAACACCTAAGTTTAATAGAATGTGTTCCCTCCTCTAATTCAAAAGTGATAGATGTAAACAAAACACTTGTTATATTTCAAAAGTAATTTAACTTCATACTGCTAAATAAGTATTTAGTCAATGAAATATGTCCGCATTACTTTTGTGAAATATGTTATATGAATGAAAAGTAAGGATGCCAAAAAAGCAGGCTAAGGAGACACCAAGGTTTGAGGTTACCATGACATTATTTTATATTTAACCTACAGTTATTGAGAATAGAAATTAATTTGGCAGAATATCATTCTGTTGTCTGTCTTCAAAATACATAACAATAAATAAACATTCTATTTACCCAAACTAAAAAACAACAACAAAAAAATCATATTCACAAGAGAAAAACAAAAATTTTAAATACCACTAAGTAGAATTTAAAGGGAAAAAATACTTAATTAAAAAAAATGTTAGCAAAGAAAGGAAATCTGTGTTAACCAAAAGACATTCTTGGCCATATAAATTTTAATTTTTAATACAGAACTCATCTTTTCTTGTTCCTTCCCCACAACTCTATTATGTACCAAAAAATTCTTGCTAAACCTCTTGGCAAATTGGTAAGACACTTTTTCTACTTTTTTATAAATTTCACATAATTGTGATTTTTAATTGCCTTGTTAATTTGACAGTCTTTTCAAAAGATTTGATGAAAACAGGAATTTATGGGAATCCGAAAGCATTCATTAAAATTATATTCAATTATGTGCATATAATTATGTGCTCTTATACTGTTATAAGCTTTTGGAGCAGGGCTGGCCATCCTGGCCAAAGTTGAACCATCAAGACCTTTGTGAAAATTAGCTCAGATGGATACACAGTTCAACTACTGCTCCTTCCCAGTGTTCTTCTTCCAGTTTCTCTGGTCTTAAGTCACAAATTCAAGTGTCCTTGCATGCACCTTTGGTTCCCAAAACATTCTGTTTAGCTAAGCACACTCATGCATAATCTATATCGCATGGAAATTGAATTAAATAATGCCTGAGAAGTATTTGGCATGTTGCCCAGTACATAAAACACATCCAATAAATAAGAATAGTCACAGGCTTTCTTAATAATATTATTTAATCATGTTCTTTCCAATTAACCATAAATAGTAGCTACTATTTAGTTTCCACATGAAAATTGAGTAACCCAAAGATCTCAGATACTGATTAACTTGCCAAAGTTGAACAGCTACTGAGGAACAGAAATTGGGGTTTTACTTTGATGCCGGAGGTCTCATCATTAGCTTCCCAACTAGTAAGAGTAACTCACATTGAAGTATGACTATTGATAGACGGAATCCTCCTGAGAAAGCAGCTTGTCACCTGTGTTTTTTGAGTGAGGGAAAACTTAGCTCACTTTCTGTATGTATTTGAGGCTGTTCCATCTGGGACACTTCTTTTTACTTCCTGTCAGTATTCAGGACCTGGAAGTTGGCTAAGCTAAGTTGCAGCTATTCTAACTACTCCTAAGTCTAAGGAATAAGTAAACACAGGGCTCTTCATAACAAGCCTATACATTTGATTTCCTATACTGAAATAATATGCTTCCTCTTTAACCTTCCACAGATGCTTTAATCAGTTATAAACCAATTATACCATCTTAAAATTTCAAACTTGGTAATACTCTTGAATAACTTCCTTGTTTGTTCAGTGTTCTGGAACTAGTTTAGAAAATATAGCATAGCTAAAATTAGCAGTATCTTTCCTGTTTTTGCGGGGAAAAAAAATAGTGATAGCAACTTCTGTCGATTTGTAGAAACCTCGGTATTTAGGTAAGGAACTATTGCATTTAGTAGTTTGGAAAGTTTAATTTTTTAATCAATTTTGAAATAGTCTGTTGAAAATTGAGGCTCAAAAAAAAAAAGCAGTGTAGTTCAAGGAAGAACAGTTTTCATTGCCAAGTCGAACCCATTATTGTTCCTGATGCTGGCAAACTTTCCATAGGAAATTTTGCATTTCCGAGTCCTATCATGTGTTGCATGCTCTCTACGGAAAATTTAAATACCACTAAGTAGAGTTTAAAGGGAAAAGAAATACTTAATTTAAAAAAATGTTAGCAAAGAAAGGAAATCTGTGTTAACCAAACGACATTTAACATGTGGGGAGTTTTGTGAAAATGGAAGGCAGATCCATAGAGGAAAGAGACCAAGGAGAAGGAGGAAAGGAGAGAAAGGGGGAATACTGGGGAATGACGCTTGCCAAATTATATTTTGTGCTGATATGAATGTGGCAATTAGGATATGTCAGCAATAAATTCCACAATTATACAGAACTATAATGCAACAGTAAAAAATATGAAAAAAATCAATGGAGTGTTACATGTGTGTTTAACTAAATTAAGCGTTTGAGTAGAAGTAGTTTCCTAGGGTTCTACTTTATCTAGACTTTTTATTTGTTTCACTAATATTGATTGATTTAATTGAGGCTATAAGATTGGAAATATACATGGATAGTAATGATTTCCTTTTAAAATTCTGGTATATGTTCATATACAGTTCTGCCTCTTCATCTGTTCTGAATGTGTATGCATAATATATGTGCATATGTGTGTGTATATATTCGTAAGTTATATATTTGAAGCTTGAGTTTAGTTTCACAAAGATTGTGATAGGGGAGGAAAATAATTTCCTCTCTGTTCTTCATAGTTCTTAGTTGGGATGAACACCTATGACAAAAAACATGTTCACAAGAGAAAAACAGAAGTTTAATAACGTGGTCTTGCATATGTAGGAGACACCCATGGAGAAGTGAGTGAATTTCCAGGGGGTGGCTTTGAACTTAGGCAGGTTTGCATTCCGTGGTCCCCCTTAGCTGTACTCTCAAGTAGTTTCAGCTACCCACTGTCTACCATGGTCTGAAAATATTAAATTGGAAAATTCGGGCAATGAGCAATCTGTGTTTTAGAATGCCTGCCATCCTGGGCAGTGTGGTGTGTTGTATCCCACTCAGAACATGAGCTGTCCTCTTGTCCAATGTCCAGGCTTCTTTCCCCCACCTGCCCATTAGTTGGTGGTCCCAGTTATCATATCATTGACTGTTGCAGTACCACAGTGCTTATGTCCAAGAATATGTCAAGAAGCCCTAAAGTGCCTCCTTTATTTGAAAAGGTAGAAGGTGGAAACTCTTAATTAGCATCTTCAGGCAGAGTAGATCCTCTACCCATGAAATAGTGAAGAAGGAAAAGGAAATTAAGTTAGTTTTACTGTCACAACACAAACTGCAAAAGTTAGAGTTCTTAGTTAAGATGGAAAAGGCATTACATTTGTGTGATAATGTAGAGGAAGAAACACAAGATATACAGGATCCTGGCTGTCTGTGGTTTCAGCAGTCCACAGGGTGGCTGGTGTCTTGGAAGGTACACCCTGTGGATGAGAGAGCCCACTGTAGTATTTTCCATTGAAAAATAAAAAGAAGGGTGGGGAAGTATTCAGTCACTGGGAGGTAACTAGTAAGAGCAAGTGATCCAAGTCCCTTGATTCAGTCACCTGTCTTCCTGGTGGGGAGGAGACACTTACAAATGCAGATTTCCTTTACAGATGCAAATTTCTCTTACAAAAGATAACTTCTTTTGTTTTCAGAGTTTCTCCAGTGTTTGCAGTTTTTCAAAATAACCAGCTCAAAATAATCCTTATGCCAAAGAGGCATATTTTGGGGTGGCATATTCTAGTCTTCCACAATGCATACAAAATGTTTTAAAAATAGATGACAGTTCAAACTAGAAATTTCCTTTGCCTACTTAACAGAAAAATCACCAAATGCTTGGTGTTTATTTTGAGAGCAGAAAAACAGTTTTGATTCTCTTTCAAGCTACTTGCATGTATGTATTCAGTGTCTTGCATGTATGTTCCTATTTGGCGCTATCTGGCACATTTACTAATAGTAAAATTTGACTAAATGTGGACAAATTGAGTTATGAATTTGCATATAACAGTACACATAACTTGTCTACACAGCACTGGAGAGCCTGGAAGGATATTATTATAGAGACAATGTTTCTGTGGAAGAATTTCAAGCCCAGATAAATGCAGCCTCCTTGGAAAAGGTCAAGCAGTACAACCAGAAACTCAGGTATGTAGCTGCCCAGGTTGGCGTCATTTTTGTTTTTCATTGTCTCTATTTTGAACACATCAATAAGGTTTGGGACATTTCCATTATATTAGATTATTTATTATTTTTACTTTGATATGAAGTCCTCTTATAATGTTTATGATTTCATCTATTCTAATGGCTAATCTTATTCCTAATAAAAATGATAAAGGAGAGTGTTCTTAAAATTTTCATATTAATGTTTCAACTTTGAAAAAGATAAAGAGAAGAGAATAAATGCATCACATCATAGGCCATTTCCAGGGGAGAGGGGGACATTGACATGTTATAGTGGTGTCCCCAAGGAGACTCAGGGGATTAAGGGTAACATAGGTTCCTTCATGTACATGGAGCAGCTGGTGCCTTCTCAAGGGGAGAATATCTTCTACGTGGAAAATATGACAGGGCATGTGCTTGGTATTTGGAAAACTATCTTCTTACAAATAGATATGTTAATGCTTGTATGTTAAGCTTTTCCCTAAAATATTGTTAAGGTACAATGATAAATGGCTGCAAAAATTAACCACCATCAGTGGAGGGAAGTTTATTGTAATTCAGTAGCTTTAATTTTCAACAATATTGGCATATGTATCTTTTTAAAATTGCTTGAAAAATTTAAGCTTTTTATTGTTTGTTTACTTTTGTGCCACTAGGGATCAAACCCAGGACCTTATGCATACTAAACAAGTACTGTATCACTGAAGTACATCCCTAGTCCTAGGCTTTTTATTTATAAAGGGAAAAAATGCTCTACTCAAAAATACTGTTGTGGTATTTTTTGGTTTTTGTCTATGATGGGGCCCCACTGTGAATATAATTCATAAAACGTGGAGGTGGTATATGTTCAGGTGGTTAAGACAATGGGTTGGCTTTTTCCTCTAGGAATGCTTTGCCTACTTACCCGGTCTCACAAACATGGCCCTTCTCCTCCGCTCTCTGGTTCATTGATAAAATATCATTTTCTGAAGTTCTCAGTCTCAAATCCCTACGATCATTTTTACCTCCTTTTAAAATGTAGTTCAAGATCCTGATGAGTCTGAAATGTCTCTTAGACTGCCCCTGCATTATCACCTTGTCTAGATCACTATTTTTTAAAGGTATACAATGTACTGACTCTTTTCACAGCAAGAAGCGAATCTGAAGTTTCAATATCCCACTCTGGGAGAAAGTTGACTCTGCTTTATAAACTATCTTTCTTTTATTTTGGAGCTCCAGTGCAGCCTGGGCACCAGAATGTTTTAGAAGCTCCCCCAAAATGGTGCCTAATCTAGAGTTCTGAAAGGATGGTTCCAAGACCAGCTGCAGACTTGCTAGAAACTCTGGGATGGGTCCAGCAGCCTGGGTTATAACAAAGCCTTCCCTGCAATTCTTTTGTACATTTCAATTTCAGAACCATGATCTCAGGCCGAAATGAATATCGTATCATTTTTCCACCCTGTCTCTTTACTTTATGATTACTGCAGAATCCATTACTTCTCCTCCTCAATAATAGAATTATGTGTACAGAATTCTCATCCTCTCTATCTAGTGAAAGCTCTTTGAGATGAGGAATGAATTGATCTCCGTGTCCCCCTTTGTATTTATCAAAGGGTTTTGCATAAGATGCTCTCCACAAATGTGCTTCATTGCATTAAAGTATTTAAGCATAACTAGCAGAAAAGAGTGGAGGTGTGGCTTACCATTCTCAGCCCTGTGGGGTCTTATAGAATTATTATATATGATCGCCTGAACCGGATTCCTGATGTTTATTAGAAAATGGCACATGTATTAGTTACATGCTATCATATTCTCCTCAGAAAACATTTTAGTGTATATTTCCTCGAGAAAGCATTTTGAGAAGTATGAACTCAGTACAAATTAGATGCCCTTGTCAGTAATTGCCTGCTCTGCATCCTGCTTGCTGCACGTTAGATTTATTTTGCAGAGAAAGGTAATTATGTTCCTCCTTCCAATAGTACCTTCTCTTCCTGCTTGTTTCTTGAATAAGGTGCTAATTTCTTCCTTAATTTTTTCCTGTTACTCTGTAAGCACAAATAGTCCTAAATTGCTCATGGGCAATTTGTTCTTGATTTACAGAGCCTCAAGCCAACATAACCATTTTAAGGGGCATTTACTGTGCCCTTTGAGAAGTAGTCCTGAGGTTTCTGTTTCCTCATAACCCTAGTGCCTTTTTCACATTTACACTGGAAATCATTTCATACTGGACATTAATTTATTTGCAAATTGGATGCCAGAAAAAGCCTCTTTCTCCTTAATCTTATATCAAACTAGTGCTTGATTAGAAGGCATTTTTTAGATTTTTATGAATTTCAGAAACCAAACTCAAATAGGCCTAAGGAAATTAATGTATGGGCTAACATATCAGAGATGTCCAGGGCCTGTGGCTGCTACAGGGACAGTGTGATCGGACATTATGAGTTCCTCAAGAGACTGTTTAGCTTTCTATCTGCTAGTATTCCTTTACTCTGTGTGGACTTCATCTTTGGGCCTCCTTTTACTCTCTCTCTTGGGTAAAGATGGTTACTCCAAACTAGTGTAACATTCGCAGAAGAAGAGAAAATGTTCCCAAGCCCACCAGCTCTAGCCAAGGACCAGGGTAGGCATGCATTAGCTCAGAATAGGTCACAGGCCCATTTCTGAATGGGTTCAACCCCACAGAGGAACAGCAAACTGTCACCAAGAGTGAGGAGAAGGGAGAAGGATGAGCAGAGACAATGGACTCCACTCTAGTTATAGAGATTGTCCTAGAATGGCCAAGAGTAGATGGAAGTAATTCTCTACTGGAAAGAAAATGATGGCCATAATACAAAATGCCGAATTTTGAGAATGTATCAAGTGTCGGTAACACTGCTAGGCAAGTTATGTGGATTGTTTTAAAACCTAATGAGATCTATATATCATTTCCATTATATAAAGGGAACTTAGGTTACCCAGATAAATATGTGATGAAACCAGGATTTAAGGCACAGACTTTTGTTTCTCTTTAATGTCTTTTTTTTTTTAATATTAAATGAGGCCATCTCAATGAATTGAGTGAACATTTTACACTGAAAGTGAATTCTCTGTTACTCAATTTTGGTATCAGAGATTACCCATGGCCCATAGTCCTTCTTTGCCCTTGGTAATTCATTCGTCCGGTTTACTTGAGGTTTCCATTCTTGTGGAAATGGGAAAGACAGAAAATGAACAAAAAAATACATCTATAAACAAAGTTTTTCAGACAGTGAAAGTACATTGAAGAAAACAGAAAGCAAGTTGATGCGTTATGAGTTTGATAGTCCAGAGGGGGTAGTGAGTAATGACTTAAACATTATCCTGACTTACAAGGAGGCAGCCTTGTCAAAATATGGGGGAAGATCTTGACAAAAACAGTAAATGGATGTCATACAGACAAGCTGTCCTGTTGGCGGAGACAAAGAAAGTCAGTGTGATTCTAGTACACACTGAGAGAGACATGCAGAGCCAGATTCTATAAGGTGGTAGACCATTGCAGGATATTTGGGGATTATTGTAAGAACAACAGAAAAGCTGTTGGAAAAGTTTTATTGAGTTAATGCTATTACTTCTACTACATGCATAAGTTACAAATAATCTTAAAAATGGCTGAAGTTTTCACAAGGAGGTAGTAAAGCAAGCCACAGCCAGCTGACTGGTCTAACCAGTATCCTCCCATCTCCTGTGGAAATCCACTGAGACATGATCTGGGAACCTTTGTCACATGCATGATGGCCCTGTTTCTGGGTGCCTGAAGATACCTGGCTGTTTCCCCTATGAGTGAGACTGAGCTGCAGAAATGTCTCACAGATATTCTAAAACATAACCTCCTTCCTGGCCCAAGTCAGATAATATTTTTTATTTTATTTATTATTATTACTATTATTGTTATTATTAGGTACTGAAATTGAACTCAGGCCCTCACACATGCAAGGGAAATGCTCTACCACTGAGCTCCACCTCCAGCCCTTTTTATCTTCCTTTGTGACAGGGTATTTATATTGTCCAGGTTGGCCTTAGACTTTTGCAATTCTCCTGCCTCAATCTCCTAAGTAGGTAATGTTCTTGATTGATTTCTCACCTGTTTAAGAGAAGCAGCATGCATAATTTTTAGCTCTGATATTCAGACAAATTTACAATTATCCCCTCCCTTCACTATCCTCACCCGTCTCTATTCTCTTTTCTACCTATGACTTTCCTTTTTATTCCCTGTGGCCATCAGGCATAGTTTCTATCAGCCTCATTTTCCTCTGCCTACTTAAAGGTGATTTATCATTACCAAACCCTTTCATTTTAATTCATCCTTTTTATTGGCAAAAAGCACTACTACGTGGTGACTAATGAGATAAAACTATAAATGTGAACAGTTCCTGTATCAAAATAGTCCTTGCAGTTTCAGAGGCCTAGGTTATTATTTTTAAATGCAATATTTTCAGTATAAAATAAATGGGAAATAATGAAACTCAGAAGGATACACATTATATATTGGCTGCTGTGATATTTTATTTTTGTGAAATGTTAGCTTCATACTGATTTTTTTTTAGAGCCCACAATTCGCGGTATCTAAATGAAATTCATCATCTCTGTAGGAAGAAAACAAGACAATTATTCAAAATAAATGTTCTCTTGAGGTGTGCCTTTGTGGATAAAGAATGGCACATTAAAAAAAGAGATTTGAAAAGCTAAGCGCATTTTCTGTATAAATAGAAATACTACACACAGGTACCAACCTCAGAGCCATATATTCTGGACAATTTTCACAACCGAGAAATGTCTGCCAAAAACATGTGTTTTCACTATTCCCATGATAGCATCTCTTTGAGACCTATCACTTCTCTCTGTCTCTGCAGAAAAAATAAAATGTTAGTGAGTATGCACCCCTGACATGGGATGGATATGAGGGATGGCAGGGCCTCACTGCCGTTTCACATCTTCACCTGTAGCTATCAAACAGCAGGAAGGCACAAGGGACTCCAGCTCTTACATCC